ACAGCTCTGCTTTTGCTTTTCTGAGAGGTTTTTTAAATTAATTTCATAATACTTGTAGCCCACCCCATTCCTAATGGACTCTGTTAAGAAAGGCAAAAATTGAAGGAGAACATAAAGAAAACCAAGTGATGGAGAAGGTACAGGGCAGAGTATCAACACCTTACTCCTTTGTGGGCAAACTGAGATTGTCCTAATATAGGGCTGTAGTTTTATCAGTCCCTTGTCCAGATTTCCTGTAGCTTGCCAAGACAAAACACCAGCAAAAAGGAGACACCAAGTATTTGATGGGAAATAGAGTAGAAGTGAGCAGAAATAACAGGGTGACATAGAACAAGATGACTTAATCCAGACAGTTGCAAATCCTACTCACAATTCCCCAGACAGCATTGGTATTGCTCTGGCCCCATCTACTGCAGCTTCTGACTGCACCCACTGCCAGATTTCCCCTGTGTGGCCTCAACTGAAAAAAGGCTCCCCACCCAGAGAGTAAACCACCTTCTAAAACACATGAGCCGTCTGGGCAAAGAAGGTAAGAGCTTATGGTCATTCTGCGTACAAGATCAGACTCCCAAGAGTACAGCAGCTAAAAGTGTGAGCCCTTGGCACAAAGCATATCTCAACACTAAGCTCGCACAAATCATCCCATCCCCTAGATTGGGGGAAAACCTGATATGGAGATAATACAACTGGCTATGTTATAGGGAGGTTAAAAGCCACATATTATCAATACAGCCTCACATATGAAAAAAACTAAACACAGCAGAAGAGTCTAACAACAGAAATTAGAAAAAAGAGAGCGAGGATGGAAATATAAATTCACAGGTAAACCCAATTGTCCCCCTGCACATTCTTGCTCAACTAAGAGCTCTGGAATTATTCTGTTAGTAGAGGAAAAACTTGTAGAGAGTTTATTGCTGGAAATTTTGTCAATGTGCAGAAAATACACACTCCATTATGGTCAGAAGTTTACAATCTCATAGAGTATGGCAGTCACAGGTGAGGTTTTAGAATGCTTTATCCTCTCAAAGTGGCATCAGTTAGAACAGTTGGCTTTTCGTGGTCCGAAATGAATAAACCTAGCTTCTCCACAAGTGTCAGTAATAAACTAAACTGGCACTCTAAATAAATGGCTTGCTGCAGCAATCTAGCAGCAGTTTGTTTAGTTTTTTTTTTTTTAAATGCAGGTTGAAGAGGGGCTACTCAGGAATGCATGCAGAGGGGGACAGTTTACATCAATATTCTGACAATCACATCAGCACCTCAACTAAAGGTAAAAGTAAGGGCATGTTGGAATGTAAAGGATAATACTCTCTCATGCAACCTGTTGCTCATCAAGTCTTTGTTCCAACCTGGTTTTCCTCCCTGTAACCTTGCCTTCCTCCACAGAATCATAGGGCTGAATGAGACAATTTGAGCCAGGGAGTCCCCACTTGCTGCAGAAATCCAGTTAAGGCATGTCCAATAGACAGTTGGCCTCCACTGGAATACATCCAGTAAAGGAAAGAGTATCCTAAAAGTAAGGATTATGTTAGTTTGTTTTTTAACATTGAATCAACATTTGTCGTTCTATAACATGAAACCATAATTTCATGTCCTGACTCTTGAACAGTGGAGAATAGATCTTGATCTTCTTTTGGGTGACAGCCTTTTGGGTATCTGAAGAGGGATATCACATACAGTCAGGTCCAGAAATATTGGGACATCGACACAATTCTAACATCTTTGGCTCTATACACCACCACAATGGATTTGGAATGAAACAAACTTCACCACAAGATGTAAACCATTGGTGAGTACACCACCACAATGGATTTGGAATGAAACAAACACAATGTGCCTTAACTGCAGACTGTCAGCTTTAATTTGAGGGTATGTACATCCAACTCAGGTGAACGGTGTAGGAATTACAACAGTTTGCATATGTGCCTCCCACTTTTTAAGGGTTCACCACAAGATGTAAACCATTGGTGAGTACACCACCACAATGGATTTGGAATGAAACAAACACAATGTGCCTTAACTGCAGACTGTCAGCTTTAATTTGAGGGTATGTACATCCAACTCAGGTGAACGGTGTAGGAATTACAACAGTTTGCATATGTGCCTCCCACTTTTTAAGGGTTCACCACAAGATGTAAACCATTGGTGAGTACACCACCACAATGGATTTGGAATGAAACAAACACAATGTGCCTTAACTGCAGACTGTCAGCTTTAATTTGAGGGTATGTACATCCAACTCAGGTGAACGGTGTAGGAATTACAACAGTTTGCATATGTGCCTCCCACTTTTTAAGGGTTCACCACAAGATGTAAACCATTGGTGAGTACACCACCACAATGGATTTGGAATGAAACAAACACAATGTGCCTTAACTGCAGACTGTCAGCTTTAATTTGAGGGTATGTACATCCAACTCAGGTGAACGGTGTAGGAATTACAACAGTTTGCATATGTGCCTCCCACTTTTTAAGGGTTCACCACAAGATGTAAACCATTGGTGAGTACACCACCACAATGGATTTGGAATGAAACAAACACAATGTGCCTTAACTGCAGACTGTCAGCTTTAATTTGAGGGTATGTACATCCAACTCAGGTGAACGGTGTAGGAATTACAACAGTTTGCATATGTGCCTCCCACTTTTTAAGGGTTCACCACAAGATGTAAACCATTGGTGAGTTTGTTTCATTCCAAATCCATTGTGGTGGTGTATAGAGCCAAAGATGTTAGAATTGTGTCGATGTCCCAATATTTCTGGACCTGACTGTATCTCCTTAATCTTCTAAAGGCTGAACATCCCCAATTCCCTCACTCTCTCTTCAGAGGACTTACTCTTCTTTGTTCTTGTTATGCTTTGTCTGAATCCTTCTTCAAATGTGGTCCCACAAATGAACCCAATACTTAAGGCGGAACTATTACATCCTATGATTTGGAAACTATATTTCCCTTGATACAGGCCACTGTAAAACCTTTTGTATTTTTGGCAAACATATCATACTGCTGACATATATTCAGTTTGCAATCAGCTACTATTCCAAGATCTTTTTCACAAGCATTATTACCAAAGCAGGTGTCCCCCATCCTATGTAACTGAATTCTGATTTCTTTTGGACCTTAACTCCCACAAAAGTTTATCATAAGTCTGTTACTCTGGACAGCACCACCAAACTCATGATTAGCATGGTCATCCATCATTGCTCCACCAAAAAAGCACAACAGCAAGAGCAACAATCAGCTCCATTGTAAAAATGTTGTAGTCCTGCTGCTTTGGCTTTTTGTTCTATGGAAACCTGTTTTATTGTTGATTACTTGTATAGCAGTTTGGGTTTTTTTGGTACATTGCTCTGGCCTCTTTCAGGAGGAAAAACACTATCAAATAAAATTTGAAGAATACTAATAATAATAAATAGCACAACAGAAGCTACCAAATATCCAGTCATATTTCTATTTTCTCCCATCTGGCTTAAAACATTAAATCTATACATGTATATATTCATTATATCTAACCTGATAACAAAATAGTATTTTGTTGATTATGCTTGGATCAGAAATTATTCATGTTATATCTAATAGTTTTCATCAAAAAAAAAGACACATTTGTTGTATAATTGAGAATTCTGGCTACTTTAAGCTTCACAAGTAAAATCAGACACAATATTACAAGAGAGTGTTTTGATTATGGTCTCCTTCACTCCCCTGCCCCCCCCCCAGTTGTCATAAATTGTGCCTCAAACTCCTTAGGGGTGGTCTCTTAACAAATGTCCAAAATAAAATGGAAACTAAGGAGTCATAGAACTCTTCAGCAAAAAGCAGCCTCCAGTATCTTTCCAAACAGAGCTGAACAAAGATCTTTCCTTTATGCACCTCCCAACCCACCAGCATTCCATAGCAAATGGAAGGAAGATGAGGCTGAGAAAATATCAAGGACTGTCCCAAGGTCATCCAGAAAACCAGCATTGGCACTTCCCTTGCAGTCAGAACCATCCAAGAGGATGCCTTTCAACATAAGATAGGTGAAGAGCATCCTGCCACATCCACACTTTCCAAAATATATACATGTTTGCATCACAAGCAATCTTCCAGCTTCTGCTTCCCTGTCCTGACTGGACAAATGCAGCATGCTCTCACCTCTAGCTGGATATTTACCACCACTGACCTTCCAATCCAAACTGTTCTGAGCACGGGGAGGGGGGGGGGCTGCTCTGGCAGCAATGAAAGGAAATGAGCCCTTGCTGTGTGCTTCACAAGCCTGTGACCTTGAGAAACTGGAGACCTGTTGTTTGTTCCAAATTCATTCCAAAATTCTGATCGGTGTAGTAAATACCAAGGACAACCCAAACAAGGGTCCCTGTCCCCAGTGCACCTGCTTGACCTGATATTCAAACACTTTCTAATCTTGTTTTGACTCAGCAAAGAGATTCATTCAAAACACGTGCAGGAGAAAAACACAGCTAGACTTACATGCAAAGGTCCACTTCTTTAGTCAACATTAAAACGTGTGGTCAGGCTGACTTATCAACAATTCCTTTGGACCTTACTCCACAAATGGTTACTGACTCCCTATCAGAAACATGCCACACCTAACACTGTATTTCTCTCACTTGCTGGTATTCTGCACTATCCAGAGCAATGCATCAATCAGTCACTGAAAGTTGAGCAGCATACAAGTTGAAAAAAATCATCGTTACCAACCAGTATTCAGGATGCTGTAAGTAGATAAGTTTTTGAGAGGCAGCACAGAATACCTTCTAAAGCCAAGCACAGAAATGAGGATTTCATGATATTCTCTTGCTAAGGGGTCAAGAACAAATCAGTCCTCCTAGCTGCCTTCCCAACTTGGTTTCTTCCCAATCTATTTTAACTTCCATCATCCTCACCCAGCTTGGACATTATTACTACCATGAACTATAAGACCCTACAAGACATCACTCTTGGGATTTGTGCATAACAAGTAATAATGATCAAAGCACACACACAGACACACACCTTTCTCACCTCAGAAATGGGTAGAATATCCAAGCTGACTGCAAGGCTGTGTTCACCTTATCTGCTAACCCCTAAACCCAGGTTACATCAAACAAATGTACTGTATTATGGATCAGCTTGTTATTCCAATATATTAACAGACCATGGCTGAATCCCCCAAAATACAGTGAACCCTGATGAACCCTGATGGCAAGCGCAGCGAGAGGGTTCCCACTGCGCGCTCCTTACTAAGCCACTCTGCCTCCAGGCGCTCACGCCAAAGCACGTGCAGCCCGCTCGGGCCTGACTCTCGCGGCAGATGACTTTCCAAAGGAACAGCATGCGCCAAGTGCAAACGCTAGCAGGAAGGCAGCGCTCCAGGGCTAAGCTCCACCTTGAAAGCATTGATTTCGGGCCAATGAGAGCCGCCGCCGCCCCCCCGCTGCTAGGCTTAGAACTGAACGGAGCCCGTCTGGGGGAGGTGGAAGGATCTCAGGGTTTAAAGGACCCCGGAAGCCTCGGTTATCCTGCCCCTCCGCTCCCTCCACCCAAAGAAACAAACACGAGAGTCGAGAGCCGCCCCATCTGAGCCCGGAAGCAGGGTTGTGTCCTCCCTTACATGCGGCTGCGAGTCTTTCTCCCTCGGCCGCCCACCGCTGGCCCCCGGCGTTTTCTCCGCTCAAAACTCGCTGCCCGCTTTCACTCCACCGCTCTCCTCCAGGTCCCGACGAGATTCCCGGCGGCCTGCTAGGGATTTATAGCGGCTGAGGGCGACCACCAGGTCCTAGCGCTCTTGGTTGGCGTCTCTCCTGCGCTCCCTGGACCTTCCTTTGAGGCAGGACTCAGCGCCGGCACGTTGGCTTGTTGGTGGGAGAGTTCATGAGCACGTACAGATCGCCTTTCCCTCCAGCCCCGTCTCTCTTCTGGGCTTCCTGTGCATTTGGAGCCAGGAGTGAGCAACCTAAGGCCCTGCACATATTTTAGACTACAGTTCCCACAATGGGTTGCCGCTTTATAGCTACCCTTTATTCTGGCATAAATCAGTACCTTAATCCTTAGAGTGGCAGAAGATTTATAGGCTGGGTTTGCACCACATGCTTAACCATGTCAGTTAAAAATTTAGTGGCTAGTTTGCTCGATTTGTGAAGTTTGGTTAACATTAACCCTGTTTATTATTACGGTTTTAGCACTTGGCTTGTGTGAATCCAGACCCTTTGGTTAATGAAGAGTTTGTCATCTGGGCACCCAAATTAAATCTGCAGACATAGTTTGTGTAATGCAGCAGAAACAAACAAGCTTTGTTGCAGCTTAAAAATTAATATTGTGCCATGAGCTTTCTAATACATTAGCCAATAAATTTAGGATTTTTTTTTTTTTTTCTGTAACAAGTATCTTGTGCTCTTGAGTCCCATCAGTATTTTGGAAATTGATCCTAAAGAGAATGAAAGCATGCTTTGGATCCAATAACACCTGATACTTTCTTTATGGCAAATGCTAGGTGAAACCCTAAACTGTCCCTAAAGAAATAGTTCCACTTGGTAGATTGCATGTTTTCCCGCAAAAACGTTGAATCTTTGCTTTCTCTTGTTATACACTGTAAAGAAAAGGGCCAACAATGGCTGTGATCCAAGTCTTTGGATGAGTGTGGTTTTAAAATTGGAGAAACATCAATAACCTGCACTCTGCTGATGACACTACTTTGATAGCTGAAAATTCAAATCATCTGCAAATCTAGTAATGAAAGTCAAGGAGCAGAGGGAAAAATGGGACTAATGACAATAAGTTCAGCAACCAGACAAATGCAGATATTGAATTGGTGGATAGCATCTGCCTTTTAGGATTGACTATCAACAGTAAAGGAACCAGTTATCAAGATATATGCTGCAGATTAGCACTTGACAGAGTACAATGAAAGGCCTTGGAGAAGATGCTCAGATCTCGAGATGTGTTTATACCTACAAAGATCAGAATCGTGCAGGGAAAGGTTTTCCCCGTGCTACTCCATCGAAATAAAAGTTGGTGTTTAAAAAAGTAGGATAGTATTTTTTGAACAGTGGTGTTGGAGAAGACTCCTGAGAATACCATGGATAGAAAGAAAACAAATAGATGGATAATTAAACAAATCAACCCAGAGTTCTCACTTGAGATACAAATAACCAGCCTCAGATTATCATATTTTGGACATAGTTTTGACTTAGTTCTCTTGAGAAGTTTATAATGCTGGGAAAAGTAGAAGGAAAGAGAAAAAAAGGATGACCAGCAGCAAGATGGATGGACTGAATTACAATGGCAATGGGTGCACTGTTGGAAAACCTGAAGGGCTAGGTCAGGGAAAGATCATCCTGGAGAAGACCTGTCTACACTATGTTCTAAGGCAGTTTCTGGCTCAGCCTAAGCCAATAAACTAGAGAAATGCTAGCAACAAACTATATCAAAAAGCGGTCAACTTCCCCTCTTGCTGTATTCTAAGTTTTTAGTTTCTCTATGGGTAAAAGTAGCTTGCTTCGGGTCATTGCCCTCTCCTCACTTTTTTAGGAACAGAAAATAACACTTTACATTTTGAGCACTGCTTCCTGCTCAAAAGGGACTTGGTTCTGGAGGTAAGAACTTGGTTCTTGTTCCTTTTTTGCCCACCAATTTTTTTTGCCCATCAGTGAGTTTCACACACCAACTGATTACGTCCGCTTATTTTGTCTGTCTCACACTTTTCCTGCCAAATGGATTAGGGCTGTTGATCAATGGTTGTGAATGTATGCACCCATGCCATAATCACAACAAGGATGTTGTACAATTTGATTATGTCCGTAGTGGGCAAACTTTGGGGCATGAGATTTTAACACTTAGTGGCAGGCAAAAAAGCAGCCTCAACTTGCTTTGAACAATACTGTTGAATGTCCAAGGTACCAGGACTGGCCAGATTCCTTATATTTTGGAAGACTGTCTCCTTAATTCCTGCTATGTAGAGACAGGCAGTGGTGAAGGAAAGGCATATTTTTTGCATATTTTTCTTGATTACATTAAATATTCCAGCACACAGAGATGATACTGAAAGATGCCAGGGCTGAATTCTTGCACAAACTCACTTTGGCAAAGAAGTCAGGATTACCTAGAGTAATGTGTTACCCCAATTCAAACAACAGGCTTGCTGTTTGGTTTTGACTGCTCTATTTGGCAGGAGCTCTCTGGGTTCTCTGGGGAAAAAAGTGGTCCTGTGTATCATCTGTATCCTCCTGGTTGCTTGGTTGTTGAATCTGGAGGTTCCAAGAACTGGGCCTGAGACCTTCTCCTGCACATACTGTGGAAAGATAAACTTTGCTCACTCTTTATATCTTCATCTACAAACTTTATCTCACCACTATCATTCTTGTGTACTGAGACCCACAATGTGATCTGAACTTTAGCTAAATCCCGGTAATAAATAAAGAGCTTCTGGCTAAATAAACAATACACAAAGCAGTGTATTGTGCCTCATCTTCATTGAGCCAACATTCACTGTCTTTATTGGAAAAAGTACATGAACCTTTACATTTGTAACAGTTGGTGTTAGCAACACTGACTTCAACTGAATGTTTTCTGTACCTTTTAATCAATGGACATCAGCTTGGAGATATTCGGCCCATTCATCTTTACTGAACTACTTCAGTGCACTGATACTTTTGAATGAACTGTTCACTTCAGACCATAGCACAATATTTCACTTGGATTAAGATTAGGGCTTGGACAGCCATTTCAAAATAAAGGGTTCTTCTGCTTCAGCCAGTCTCTTGTAAATGTACTTGTGTATTTAGAATCATTGTTTTGCTACATGATCCACATTCATTTACGTTTCAGATCATTGACAGAACTCTGACATTCTTCCATGAAATTTGCTTGTACAAAGCAGAAATTATTGTTCCCTAAATGATTGCAAACTCTCTCAGTCTTGATGTTCCCACTCCCATGCTTCAAAATTGGAATTAGGTTGTTTTGTTAGACTACAGTTTTTTCTCCAGATAGAACATTCTTCATCAAAGCCAGAAACTTCCACTTTAGTCTCATCAATCCAGAGAACATAATTCTGCTGGATCATCCAGGTGGCCTTTGGCAAACCTGAGACAGGAAATAATGTACTTTGTGGAAGGCTGTGGTTTCCTCCTTGGTATCCTCCATGCATGCCACTCTTGTTCAGTGTATTTCTTATAGTGGATTCATAAATACTGACATCAGACAATGCAAGAGTGATTTGCAGATCCTTTGCTGTTACTCTGGGTTTCTTTGCTCCCTCCCAGTGTTGTGAAGAGCAGAATCTAATAGTGGCAACCAATTTTTTTTTTTAATAGGGGAGGGCCCCTCAAATTCACACAATTGTCATCTCATTGATTGTAAATACCTGTTTCAACTTAAGAGAGCCAAATATTCTAGAGCTTCACAAACTTTTCCCAACAAGTGAATGCTGGCAGTGAACAGGGGGTTCAATGATGACATGATACAGTATATTGTTGGTTAATGTTCATTTTTTATCTATTAACAGGACTTATATAAAGCCCTGATCTTCCAGTTCTGATTACTAAAGATCTGGGTGTGTGTGCCAGTGTTGACTCCTGGCAATTGCCTGGACTAGTTCTGCACTTTTCTTGGCAAGATTTCAGAAGTGGTTTGCCATTGCCTTCTTCCTACGGCTGAGAGGGAATGACTGGCCCAAGGTCACCCAGCTGGCTTCCTGCCCAAGGAGGGACTAGAATTCAGAGTTTCCTGGTTTCTAGCCTGGTGCCTTAACCACTATACCAAAGTGGGTCTACTAAACAATTATGAAGACTTTAAAGAGTTCACAAACTTTCTCTCATGGCTACATATCCATGCTCTGTCACTGATCCATGAAAACTCATATGGAGGAAAAAAACCTCCTTGCAGTGCGTCTATTCCCAAAATTAACCACTCTGGTGGCAACCTTGGTGTTTGTGTGGTAGCCTATTTTTTTTTCTAAGTGGGCCTTATTTAAAGTACTGTGTAGCAAATAATTTTTTAGGCAGAACAAGGTAAAAGTACATCTAAAGACAAATATCAAAACCCTGATTTAGGACTCAAGGAAGCTGCCTGAGTCAAATCCTTGGTCCACTGAGCCAGAGTTGTCAATGCTGAAGTTGCTCGAAGATTTCAGACAGGCATTTTTTCAGACTCAACCTGGAACTGAATGCTAGGAACTAAATGAGGAATGTTTTTCAGACAAACCATGCACTTTATTACTAAGCTACAATAACCCCCAGAGGTTCTAGCATGAACTCTGTACCCCAAGTCAGAGCAGCCAACAGAGAGAGAAAAAAAGGAGCACGAATCTTCCACAAAAACAGCTGTACCATGAATCCTGCAGTTCAGCTCTTCATTTTTTCTTGTGCCTGGCTGCAGTTTCTTAGAATCTGAAGTTTTGTTTCTATCTTGCTAGCAGCCATACTGTTGCTAGAGATGCTAGAACTGAATCAAAGACTTTATACGTGAAGCAGTAAAGAAGTGCTTTCTTCTGAACTTTAGAATCCTGGAAGAACCAGTTAACCCAGCGGAATAACTCTGAGAATCAACGTCATGTGTTTACATGCTCCATGTAAATATGTAGTTGTGACACTTTTTCAAAGACATAACAGCTAATTCCTCTGGAATTTGTCATGCATTTATAGCTACAGCATAATGGTATTTTTTTCTGTTTGAAATGCTGAGCTTATAAATCTACATTTGAGTGTTTCCTTGTGCTCAGAAGCTTGGAGGTGATTTGGAGAGGAAATTAAAAGAAAAGTTAAAGGAATGGCTTCTCTTTGGCTTTCTCTTGCCTTCTCCAAAGCAACTTTTGAAACCTAAAGCCTAAGCCATAACATTTGTTTGATAAATACAATGACTGTGTCCAGATATAAAATTCAACCATAAATGTGATTTCTTTCATTCCGGTTTAGGATGCTTGTATAAAAAGCCATCCAATAGCAGTCATCTCCTGCTATATCTGCATATAGAATCTAGTTTGGCTTTTAATATTTCAGGAAAAAAAATGAGCCAGTTTTGGAAGCAGATCCAATGTAGCTCAGGGTTGAACTGTGAAGTCCTTGGTGTTCTCTGAGCTTAGTTGTTTGCTTGCAGATATTTCATTACCCAACTAGATAACATCATGTGAGTGTGGGGTTTGTTCTCTGTTTATATACAGTAGCTTGCCCTACCAGTGTTGGTGGGGATGTGGTTTTCTCCTTGGTAGTTCCTTGATTAGGATATTGTTTTTTGCTTGGTTGTTTGTCTG